ATAAGGTGTTATATCAAATGCTAGGATTATTATCATTACTATTATTAATTACATTGCCAGTAAATGCCGGTACCAGCATTGTAATTGTTTGAATCCCGCAAGCAGAAGATAACTAATAAGCTATCTTCTGTTCACGGGATTCAAACCATCTGAGTCAAAGGCAATATCACTGGCCACTGTGAAGGCCAGCGAACACAGTGAGACCATTCAGTGCAGCGTTGGTGTGTGCGGGGAGAGTGGGCTGGCGGCAGTCTTCACGCCGACCCATGGAAATTTTTGGTGGAATTTTTTTTAATTTTTAGGTTTGGGGCCCGGTTTGGATTGGTTGGTATTCCAGATGCCCAAAGAAGTGACCTTTGGCCTATTAGGTTGAATGGAGTAAATAAGAAACACAAAGTGTTTAATTTGCAATACTCATGAACAGGATTTGATGTGTTAATTGCAACCCCTATAAAACGTCCAGTTTGGAATCTTGACAAAATCATTGACTGTTCCTTTTTGGTTCCCTGAATTCTTCTGTTATTCTAATGGTTTTACTTAAACAAAACATTCCTTGAACCCAAGATATCATCGTAACTGAGTATTGAGGGATTTTGCATCAGCTTTCCTTTGCCAGGAATTAAGGATGAAAAGCAACGGGTCCAAGAAAAACATGAAATAATGCTCAAATATCTCTGAAAGTTTCAGACTCCTAACAGCTGTTGAAATCAGGGGTGCCTTGTCCAAACAATAGACCTCAGTCAGAACAACACCATGAAGGTTCTAGATATATTGGTTGGTGCAGAGAATTAGAGAATTGAAAAAAATTGGTCTTTCACTTCATGACCTTTTATGGACATTACAAAGTGGCCAGTGCATTTGCCTAAAATACTGCCACTAAATTTCACAGTAAAATCTTATGAATTACTTTGAGATCGCTTGATGAAATTATAAGTTACTATATCAAATGCAAGGATTATTATTACTGTTTAGGCATATTATAATAGTAATTTATGGTAGTGGTGGCATAACATTGCGGCACTGAATTGGGAAATGAGCATTATTCCCTAAGCAATAATTTGTCCAAATTATCTTCTGTTTTTTTATGTTTACAAACAGGTCAGAAAACAGAAATAAACAGCACAGTGGAATACAGTAAAAGTTGTATCAGTCTTATCTTTATAAATTGTATAATCACTTATGTTATCGTCCTGATGTGAAAGTCGTGATACAAAATGTAAATTGTTGTTGTCATAAATCAAACTAGCTCCATTCAGTTTCTTATTAAAACATTTAAATTTCTTCGCATTTGTTATATTTATCACCTCCTAACTCGTAACACTGCTCCCCTACCCTCCAATACTCCTGCACTTACTGGCTGCATTAAATCACCGGAAACCTAGTCTTGATCTATCGAGGCATGAGTAGAAGAACTTCATTTCCCACAATTCAATGCAATTCCAATACTTGCCAGTAAATGTGCATACAGCGATGGGTTAAGTTGCATTGAATTGCAGGAAACGTAGTCTTGACTCGTCACTGCATTTGCACTTACCGGCTGCAGTGACGAACTACCAGATGTACATTTACCAGCTACATTAAATTATGCATGTGCAGTATAGGTTAATGATTAAACCGGATTTGATACGACAACAAGCTTACTTGAAAGTCTTTCTAAATGTTAAAGTCCTGACTGATACAACTTACGTGAGTTTTACTGTATCAGGTTAATATGACTTTGCAAAGAACAGGGTTCAATAAGAAACTGTCATACCACTTCATGGTGGAGGTGTTATCTCTATTGCTCCGCTAACAGTAAAACTAATACTCCAATTTAATGCACAGATCACTGTCCCTCAAATGACCTTAGTTACATGCCTAACTAATGTCTCTGTATTATGATGTGTTTGTTTTGATAGGGTTTCCAAGGTATTTGTCACATTAATGTACTTTGCCCTCTTAAAGCTGTTTGGCCTCTTTAAGCAATACTCAATCACACAATATTATGTTTCCACAATTGAGCCATTCTAATAAAATTTCATTGGTGGCTGCTACATTGCAGTTCCCATTCTTTCCATCAAATAGCCTCTTTATAATGCAGTGATTGAGATCCCTAAAATCCCAGTCTGAGCTGTAGTAAAGTGTGATAACTGGTTTCACTGTGCATATGTACAGCTAGCTGGCTTGCTCCCTGCAATTGCTAGATGGTGTGTTTAAAAAAAATGCTGCCTTACAGGTCATCAGGTCACTACCAAGATCACTTCCTGTTTGCTTTGCACATTCAAAGCAGGACTTGATGTTGGTGGTAACCTGATAAACACAACAAATTAATTTGTAACGCACCTTTCAAGTCAGGAAGAAATGCTGAACTGTCTTACAACTGCCTATATCAGTCAGTGCATCCCAATATTTTCGCCCCAAAAATATACAGTCAGTTCACTTTACAGTATATTCTATGAAGTGCTTTGAGATGCCTGTAGGACGTGAAAAGCGCTATATCAAATGCAAGGATTATTTATTATTTATACAACACATATCTTTACTTAATATTTCCCAAGTGCTCCCAACCACTCTCGTTCTCTATCCTGTATCCCTACTTTTGCTCCCTGGCTACCTGGGGGTCGGTCATGTTTTTAGGGCAAGAAGCTAAAATGAGTCTACATAGGCTTACAGAGCAAGGAGATCAACTCAGTTCCTGCAAACGTCAAATTAGGAATTACAAAACTGTGGTATATGTCGTGCAGATCGAAGCCACAGTGAGTGCTGTGGTTAGGAGATTTTTGTTCACACAGAGAGTTGTTGGGATGTCGAATGCCCTCCCAAATAAGGTGGTAAAGGCAGAGTCCACTGTGGATTTCAAGAGAGAAGTAGTATATGAAGGATATATGAAAATTAGAAGCGTGAAAGGGGCAGTGAAGCTAAAAGTGAGGATCAAATAATAATAATTTGGTTGCTCAATCCACGACTGCTTGTGGGACACTGCTGTGAACAATTGGCTGTTGTGTTTCATCCACAAAATATACAGTCAATTCACTTTACACTATATCCTGTGAAGCGCTTTGAGACTCTCAAATACATGATATCAAATGCAAGAATTATTATTATTATTAAAAGTACAGCTTGCTCTGAGAGCAGGTACAAACTCAATGGGCCAAATGCTTCCTTCTGTGCTGTAAATTTCTATAATTCTATAATTATAGGATGCATTAAATATCCTTTTTCTTGTCATCAGTCATGACATAGAGTAGGGAACAGTCAGTTACACCTTCTTATGACTAAGAAAGCTCAAGCCTTGTACCACACCAGCATAGCTAAGGGCAAAGGTTGAGGATCTGAGATGAGATGATTACTGTTTCAGGTGAAACAACAGGTTATGAAATAGTAATATGCAATAAGCATTCTAATCCCCCTCCTCCCACATCCCTCTATTCCCTTCCCTCTTGTGCATGCTTCCAGTTTCCTCTTATGATTCAGAATGGGTTACAAAGAAGGGTGGGTAAGGTAAGGATGCTTAAAACTCAATTCTATAAACAGTTTGATGCTATAATCCTCACAATTGTGTTCAAATCCATTCACTCTCTGGCACCTCCCTATCTCTCCGACCTCATCACTCCCCAATCCACCACCCAGCTCCTCCACTCGACTGACACCAACCTCCTGCCTCAATCCCTCAATCCCTCCACCTTGCCCCTCTCTCCCCTTTTCCTGGTCCCGCCTGAAGACCTTCCGCTTCGGCCGTGTTTTATGGCCACCTTGACCCCCGGCTCCACCACTGTTAAGCGCTCTGAGACGCTACCCTGCGTGGAGAGCACTATGTAAGTGCAAGTTGTTGTTGTTATATAATACAGGGATGGTCAACTTGCAGTCCGAGTGACTGTTTTACACATGCGCAATGTAGTCCCATGAGGCCTGCAGACAGCAAGTTGGCTATCCTTGCTATAATAGATGGATAATAGGTTGGTATTCTGGAACGATGAGATTTACTTCTATCTACAATAGGTACAGTGCATTTGCCTACAATATTTAGTAACCACACACATTACAGTATATTCTGTGAAACGTTTTGAGAAGTCCATCGTACATGAAAGGCACAGTATCAAATGTAAGGATTAATAAGAAGCAAAATAATAAATTGGTCACTTCAATCCATGACTGTTCGTGGGACACTGCTGTGCGCAATTTGACTGCCGCATTTCGCCCACAAATATACAGTCAATTCACTTTGCAGTACATTCTGTGAAGCACTTTGAGACGTCTAGAAGACGTGAAAAACGCTATATCAAATGCAAGGATTATTATTATTATTATAAATATTACTGTATTAACATAATGGGTAAAAGAGCCTTCTTCGTTTGAACCTCTCTTGTGATAACTATTGACCAGTCCGTGGCTCTGACACCATCTCTTGAAAGAGAGAATAATCGTTGAAGCCAAAGCCGCCAGCTGCCACTATTGGAGATGTCAGACACACAGAGTCCAGGTTGAGGGATACTTGAAGCCACATTCACTGTTACGCTGCACAGGTGAGCAAGTCCAATTGCAGCAGCCAGTGGTTTAGTGTCCAACTCATCTCCCATGTCAGCACATTAGACTAACCGGTCAAGGCTGACATTCCAGAGCAGTGCTGGGGGACTCCTCCATTACTGGAGATGCTGTCCTTCGGATGAGAAGTTAGATTGAGGTCCTGTCTGCCTGCTCAGGCAGATGTTAAAGATCTCATGGCACTATTTAAAAACAGAATGTTTCCCACTGCATCTTTACCAACAATCCCCCAAATAATATTGGCAATCACATCATGGCCGTTTGAGGGATAGTTGCTATGTGGAAATCGGCTGTTGTGTTCTCTTACAAATCTGCAGTCACTCTTGACAGTATATCCTTTGAAAATCTTTGAGATATTTCAACAACGTGATACGCCGACAACATGATATATCAAACGCAAGGATTATTATGATTTATTATTGCATATTAAAGGAAGACTGCTTCTTTGATCATGTTGCCATTTCTTCAAATCCATTCAGGTATTTACCCAGTACCATCTGGACCAGTATACACTGCCACAAAACATGGTGTGATTGGTTTCACTCGAGCTTTAGCAGTGAGTATATTAAAGACACAAATTCCTGCTTTTATCAACATGTTATTTCCTGCTATGGATAGCTATAGTACTTCAATAGATCTTAAAGGAGTAGTGCTCTCCATTGTCTTGCCCTAACCTACCTCTGTAGTCTTCTAAAACCCTACCAACCTACCCACTTCCTCTGTTGCTTGCCAGCTTGAGTTCAAATCTTCAACCGTCCAGCATCTTGGATGCCCTCCCATCGTGAAAGACCTTATATAAACACAGTTTGTTGTTGTTGTTGTGCTGTTTAAGAGGAAACCATGGGTCTATTGTGCAGTATTTCTTAATTGATTCCTTAATGTAGAAATTGAGAAGTTCTTGCTGCTGGCTCAGGAACACTATTGCAACTCAATATATTTTCGGAGAAGGATTCCCTCAAGTTGAAATCATTTCAAAGGCTACATCAAGGAAGACAACTCATTCTGATTTCCTAATTAAGAACTCTGATAACTAATTACACAAAATTGACCCTGAAATTATATGATCACCAAAGTGACACAGTGGAGTGAAACAAATACTCAAAACACAGTGCCAGGTTTCCTGGTTATCTAAGGACTTTTTTCTAAGACAGAGGAGTCAGTTGTGCCTATCTCACAAGATCACAGGATTAGTCTGGATAAAGAAGGCCCCTAGCATATTTCCCCATCACTGGATCAATCAGCTTTTTAAACGAGTTCCAGTGCAGTCTGACCAGAGCTCTGTATAGCCTAAGAATGGTGTCTGGGGATCTAACTACAACTGATTTAGCCGTATAGCCCAGTATCCTGTTGTGCTTCTTTACTGTTGCCTCACATTGTTTTGACACAGTGAGCAGTGAGTTCACTAACAACAACAACAAATTACACTTGTATAGTGCCCTTCACGTTGTAGAGATGTCCCAGGATGCTGGACAATCAGGAGTTTTGGACCTGAGCTGGGAGTTGGGGTCAGAAGGGGAGGAGGGCAGGGGGGTGGGGGTGGGAGGGTGGCCGAAGGCACAGTCGAAGAGGAAGTTTTCAGACGGGACTTGAAGGAGGCAAGTGAGGGGGTAAGGTAGAGGGATTGCGGGATAGAGTTCCAGAGTGTGGGGGCAGAGATGCTGAATGCCCAACCGTCAAGGATGGGGTGGGAAGTGCGGGAGACCTGATATCTCCGCTGGTGTCCGCTGAGCAGAGGGAGTGGACAGGCTGATATGAGGTCGGAGGGGTGGGGGGGAGCAAGACCTTTGAGGGCCTTGAAGGTAAAAGCGAGTGTTTTATATTCAATTCTCTGAAGAATGGGGAGCCAGTGAAGCTGGGCAAGAACAGCAGTGATAGGTTCCCGGAGCCTGGTGTGGGAGAGGACACAGAGTTCTGAATAATCTGCAGTTTATGGCGGGAAGAGTTGGGAAGTCCAGTGAGCAGGCAGTTGGCGTAGTCAAGCCGGGACATAATGACAGCGTGGATCAGGGTCTCGGCGGCCTATGGTGTGAGGCAGTGGTGGAGGCAGACAATGTTGTGGAGGTGGGGAAATTGGAATGGATCACGAATGTGGGGTTTGAAGGATAACTGAGGGTCGAAAAGGACACTGAGGTTTCGGTGAGGTGAAGAGTCCAATCATAAATGGTGATAGTGTCAGTGGCTGAGGTGAGGAGGCGCTGCTGGGAGCCAAGCAGCAGGGCTTCTGTCTTGCTAACATTGAGCTGGAGGAAGTTGACTCTCGACCAGGACTTCATGGCAGACAGATAATTAGTTAGGACATCAACCCTCCTGGAGTTGAGGCGGCAAGATAGAGTTGGGTGTCAACCGCATACATGTAGAAATTGACCCCATGTCTGCGGATGACATTGCCGAGTGGGAGCATGTATAGATTGAAGAACAGGGGATCGAGGACAGAGCCCTGAGAGACACCACATGTGACAGTGCGGGGGATAGAGTAGAAGCTGTTGATGGCCACGAAGTGCAGACACATAGGTAGGATTGGAACCAGGCAAAAACAGAACTATTGAAATGGAGGTGAGAGGGGAAGCAGTGCAGAAGAATAGAGTGGTCAACAGTATCGAAAGTGGTCGACAGGTGGAGAAAGACGAGAAGACAGAGAGAACCCTGGTATCAGATGGACAGAATGTCATTTGTCACTTTGACCAGGGCTATGAGCAGCATGAAACCCAGATTGGAGGAGTTCATGGAGTGAATGCTGGGAGCGAGGCTGGGAACCGACGACGCATTCCATGACCTTTGATAGAAAATGAAGGATTGAAATGGGGCGGTAGTTGGAGAGAGAGTGATGATGGTTGCCTTTAGGGGGATGGGTACAGTGTCAGTGGACAGGGAGAGGTTAACAGGGTCTGTTAGTAGGAGGGCGAGGAGGTGGAGCTGGGAGGGCTAGGGATGGCATCAAGGGAGCAAGTGGTGGGTTTCATTGTTAAGATGATGGAGCTGAGGGAAAAGGTTGAGACAGGGTCGAAGATGTGAAGGGAGGAATGGGTGGGGGACGGGGGCGAGGGAAAGGTAGCAAACTATTTATTTTTTCTATAACAAAAATCTATTCCTTAATGTGTTAATGTGGGATTGAATAATACGATTCACAATATGGGTTTGGTTGACGAAAGCCCTTTTGATCTCATCCATCCAGAATATCTACCCTACCATCCTCCATCATAGCACCCCACTGTTTTATTTAATGAGTCCAGCATCATGGACTCAGTCACTTTTTCTGGTAACCTGTTCTTGTCATTAATTAGCCTGCGGGTACAGAAACACTTCCTAATGTCTGTCCTGAAATTGCCATTTGAAACTCTATATCTATGTACTCTTATTCTGCTATCATGATGCATTTGAAAGTATTGTTCTGAATTTACTTTCTCTATCCCATTTAAAATCCCCTCCCAAGACATGTCATTGTAATAACAACCACTCATTGATATTCCTTTTAGGAAACTTCAAGGCTTTCAGGCTACGGTGTTCGGATCAACGTTATCTGTCCAGGTTTTGTTGATACTCCACTTCTGGACTCTGTGAATCATGAAGAACAGATGGGAACATATTATAAGTTCAAGGACTCCATCAAAGAGATAATGGAACATTATGGATTAATTCAGTAAGTTCTTCTGAGAGGAAGAAATCAAACATTCAGAGTTTAGTGGGAAGTAAATTGTACCTAACCAAAAGTTTACCCATCACTTTTGACTTAAAGAGATTTTATGCTATGTAATCTGTAACTGAGAAAACTAGATTGAGGACCAAGAGCAATACACAGGGCAATATACAACTGAAACTGAGATAAATGAAGAAGTAAAGGATAGGTCATAGAGCTTGAGTATTACAAGCTGATAGAATTGTAGGGCGAGGAAAATAATAAATAATAATAATAATACTTGTGCATTTGATATAGCACCTTATCACGTTGTCGAGATGTCTCAAAGTGCTTCACAGAATACACTGTAAAGTGTAGTGACTGTATTTTGTGGGTAAAAAGCAGCAGACAATTATGCAGAGCAGGCAGACAACTGCACACAGCAGAGGATGGGAAAAGTGAGGGAACCAAAGAGTGAGGTAGTGCCACAATTTTTAGGCTCTGGATTCTGGAGTGGGATATAGTATGATGACTTCTGATTGCAAAACAGTGAGGACACAGGAAGAAAGAAGAGGGTGTAGAATGGGAGGATGTTGCTAAGAATCTTCTAAAGGAACAGTGACCTCTGTGAACTCACTGAAGTACAGAAGCGCAATAAAGACTGTAAAATTCTTAGTAACACAGTATAATTTTCATGCAGGAGTAGACCATTTACAAAAATAACAACTTGCATTTATATATCGCCATTCACACGGCAGTGTCACAGGGAGCTTAACAGTGATGGAGCCCAACACCAAGCCAGGAGGAAGGCAGCTGTGACCATAAGCATGGCCGAAGTGGAAGCTCTTTAATCCTGACCTAAAAAAGGGGGAAGGAAATGGCAAGGTGGAGGGATTGAAGGAAAGAATCCCAAAGGTTTGGTTCATAGTGGCTAAAAGCACAGTCAGAGATGGTGGAGTGGAGGGCACGAGAATGAGCAGAAGGCCAGAGCCAGCCAAGTGGAGTGGGTATTGGAGTGAGGAGAAAGCAGGTTGGAAAGTTGGGGAAGTGCCAGGGCATGAAGGGATTTGTAGACAATAATAATATAATGGCACCTTATATTTGATATAGCGAACGCTCTACCCACTCAGCTACAGGACTCCACAAGTGAGAAGATCTTGAAATCGATCTGTTCTGTGATAGGGAGCCAGTGGAGCGTAACGAGGACTGGTGTGAAAGCTGATGCAGAGTTTAGTGTGGGTGAATATACGGGCAGCAGAGTTTTGAATCAGTTGTAGTTTGTCGGTAGTGGAGCTGGGGATCTGGTGAAGAGGGCATTGGAATAGTCGAAGCATGAGGTGACAATGGCGTGAACGAGGGGCCTTTAGCCTCGGAGTGGAGTGGTCCATGAAGCCTGTCAATCCAGCAGACTACAACTGTTGTCCATTGTCCTCTAGCAGATTGAAACTTTCATCTGTTGTACTTTAACAGATGGAGCCTTGTCATCCGTTGATCTCTAGACTGATCCTGTTGCTCTTTACCAGTCTGAAACTGTTGCCTGTTTTCTTTTGTTAACAATAACAAATTACATTTGTATAGCGCCTATCACATTGGGAGGATGTCCCAAGACACTGGATAGTCAGGGCTTTCGACCGCAGCAAGAAGTTGGGATTGGGGAGCATGGAGGGCAGGGATAGTAGGAGGGTGACTGAAGTCCTGGTCAAAGAGTAGGGTCTTGAGACATGACTTGAAGGAGGCAAGGGAGGGAGCAAGGCGAAGGTACTGTGGGATGGAGTTCCAAAGGATACGGGCAGAGAGGTTGAAGATCCGACCACAGATGTTGCGGTGGAGCAGGCCAGCACCTGCTAGGAGTGAACAGGTCAATATTGTGCAGAGGGAGCGTACAGGTTGTTATGACAGGTTGATAAGCAGAGCTTAAAGTCTTTAACACTGAGCTGGTATGGAACCTTGATGTCTTGTTCAACCCCCAACCTACACCTAATTCTCACTAGAATTGCTTTCCTTGATTTCCACAACATCGCTTGCTTCAACCACTACCTCTCGTCAAGGCTGCTGAAATCATCTTCGATCTTTTCACCACTTCAGGCTTGATTATTCTCATGCCCTGCTCTAATACTATCTTGGAGTTCCTCAGCCTTACCTCCTCCCTATCCACCTTAAAAACCCACTTGACGACCTATTTCATCAACCATGTTCTTTGTCCACCTTTCCCCTCCCCTCCCCAGCTCCCTGTCCACCAGTTCAGTTACATGAGGCACTTTGAGATATCCTCCCAACATGAGACATAAATGTAATCGCTATGTAAATATAAATTGTTGTTGTTGATTCTTGATGCACTGAAATCTTTCCTCTTAGTGAGCAAACATTTCACCAAAATTTAGATCATAAAATGAATCACACGATCACTGGCACTGGGCCCGCATTTCTCCTACTATAGTTTTGACTCAGAAAACGTCAGTTTCTGTCTTGACAGACAGAGGGGAGAGTAGTGAACAGCACAGGAACAACTGTAGCTAGAGGCAACTGAAATGAGGATAATTAATCTCACTAAATTAGCCCTGCGGATTGTTAAAAGCAGAAAAAATACCTAGAGAATGTGCAATAGATTGTGCTGAGTAAATCCAGAGCCTAACTTGGCCACGTGCTAACAAGTCCAGGCAGTAATAGTTAACTGTCTAACTGTCTCTATTAACACACATCTAGCACAGTATTTTAAGAGTGGTGATGACAACATTGTTTTGAATCACAGATTGTAACTATACCAAGAATGTTTCATTGAAGAATCTAGGAATTGCCACAGCGGGAATTGAAGAAAATATTTTTTGGTTTCGGTTTCTCATTTGTGGCAGAGGGGTTAATTTGTCAGACACTTTCCTAAGATTACAAAAACAGCTGAAATTACAAAATTGTAATGGTATGAGATTACAATGACATATGAGACAAAATTGTGAAACCAAATATATCTTTTGGTTTCACTTTCTCATTTGTGACAGAGATTAATTTATATAGTCCATAGTCCGTTTGTTGATTACGGCAGCCAGTATTGAAGGGGCAGCGGTGTCCTGGTGATGTGACTTGGGTATTACACGAGAGAGTTGGTTATCCACACTCATTGCATCCAGCCCCTTGTGGAGAAGCTGGCATTCTGGATGACTGGACACCATGGGGATAATTGGCATGCAGATATCTGTATTTCAGCAATGTATTTCATCACATCAGCATCCCCACCTTGTGTTTCCAGTGCATTTGTTACTGTCCCTGTAGTTTCAATATTTCCAGCCAGAATGTTTAATTGAAGCAGGAATTTTTGGGATAGATTTTGTTCTCACTCCAGGAATGTTGCAGTCCAATACAATTTATAGTTATATAGTGCCTTTCATGTCAGGAGAATATCTCAAAGTGGTTTACACAGCTGGCTGGGCACCTGAGCAAGGGGGCAGGGGATTTGAAGAAACAGGGAAAGATGATTGAAAGCATAGTCAAAGAGGTATTCTTGAGGCAGCTTTGAAAACAGGGTGCGAGTTGGAAGGACTCTGAAATGAAGCTCCAGAGAACAGGGACAGAATGACTGAAAGTTTGACCACTGAAGGTGGAGCGGATAGGAAGCAGGCTGGCGTTTGCTGAATGAAGGGAGCTGCTGTGTCAGCAGAGTTTCAGGAGGTCACAGAAATAGGATTGGGCTGTAAGGAAATGCCTTCCTCAAAACTGCAACTGTGGTCCTTTAAGAAATGATTTCTGTGCCCCTACGTCAAGAGCTACTTGATAATGCCGGGCCATAGATCTTTATTTGCAGAAAAAAATGCATAAACATTTTGAAAAGCTTCAGTCAGCGTTCAGCACGCAGGATTAACAAAAGCAGAAGTTCTGCAGTTATTTTGGAGTCAGTGAAGATTGCTTTTTTTCCATTCAGATAGTTTCCGTGAGAGAATGTTGATCTAAAGACTTCCCCATTTACCCAAACAGGAAGATATAAGACAACGTTAACAAAAACCTGCCACAACTCAGTATTACGTGTTTTATTAAAAACCCAATCAGCCGTATAATGGAGCGCCATATGGGTAGTCAGCTCTCCTGCAATGGGACATCACTGAGCACATAACTGGTGACGTCACTGTGCACACAGGAAGAACACTCGCTGGCTTTTCTTGCTTAAAACAGGAGGAGTTCTAGATTATCGAGTCACCATGATGTCATTTCCTGCATGCTGCCCCCGCCATCGTGATGAAATGCAATATAACAGAGCTCATAATAATAATAATCGTTGCATTTGATATAGCCCCTTATCACGTCTTTGTGACGTCTCATAGAGCTTCACAGAATATACTGTAAAGTGAATTGACTATTTTGTGGGCGAAACGGGTTATATGACCAACCCCCTCAACGTGTTATGTCTTAAATCAATCCACTTTACATCCGCTTCTGTGAAGCGCTTTGAAACGTCTCAACAACCTGATAAGGCGCTATATAAAATGCAAGGATATTTATTATTAAAAATATGTTTTTGTAGTTAATGTTCAAATTAATCAATGCTGTCATATTGGTGCACAAAATGCAGGACAGAGAAAGGCAGCAGTTTAGTTAGGACAAAGGGATCACAGATCACTCCTTATTCGGTGAGAGGAATGTTAACCTTTAGATCGCTGATGCATTTGCAGTCTAAAGGTTCCAGTGTCTCAGAGTCAGCTCAGGAACTGAACCTGCAAAAAATATTACCATAACTGTAATGAATCTACTCCCAAACCAGGGTCCTTGCAACACTACCATTAATCCAACGTAATAAATACAAACAAAATCATATTTCTAACCAATAAAAAGCATTTAAGAAACAATTTGTGTTCATTTTGTTACACAGTAAGCTTCAAAGCAGACCATTGGTCCATGTAGCCCACCTATCCACCCAGATTCTCAAAAGCTTCTTATGACATATCTATCTTATATTCTAATAAAACTGAATATACAATACAAATTTACATTTCACTTGTGCATTTCACATTGGGAGGATGTCTCAATGCTCTTAACAATGCTGGCTAGGCAACCAAGCTAGAAGTGGGAGCTAAGGGTTGGGGGAAGCCTTGGCCAAAAGGTATTCTTTGAGATACGCCTTGAACGATGGGAGGCAGGGAGTCAAACTTGGGGAGAGAGGGTGCGAAGGAGGGGAGAAAGGGTGAGAATGCTTTTAAAATGTCTGGTATTTTATGTCATGGCCTAAAAGATCATTGTACACATGCGCATTAAGTCTCCTGACTCACAATACACAACCTAACCCGCTGACCCATTTATAGTTCCTTGTTCTACCACCCTTACTAGTATCTTGCATGCATCCGTCTCCCAATTATGAAGGAAATTCTTCTGCGCTTCATGTTTGCTTTGGTTATCGTTATTTTAAAGCAGCCCCATCATAACACATAGTGTGTGTGTGGTGGGGTGGGAGGGGGGCAGGTATGGTCCATATAAGTGTCCATGGGAAATAATATATATAGAAATAATTAAAACCAAAGAGGGTTTTGGAGAATCATCTCTTATATTTGACCATGTTGATTGATGTTGGCTGGCCTTTGCCACCGCTGCTTCTTATTTAATATCTGAATGCTTAAAAATAAGTTCTTTGAACTTGGATGAAACTATCCTTGAAGATAATGACTTTTGTGTGCTGCAGACCATCACTAATCAGTCAGGGATTGAAGAGAATACTTGAAGAAGAAGATATGAACGGAGCAGTGATGAAGATAACGGTGTCGCAGGGGATCCACTTTGAAAAATATGAAAATAGGCTTTTCCAGCCAGAAGAAAAGTAACAAGCCTTGCATTCGTTCCTGCCTTACCTCTGCGGACTTTGTTTTCAGTGATTTGAAACTCTGCAGTATGATTGTTCAGAGCAGTTTGTTTCTTGCATTCCTCTTGTCTTTTTTGTGTTTGTGCCACTTTGCTCCTGTCCTCATGGGTGAGATCATTCATTGTTACACTGCAGAAACTTGTAATTTGGCCCATCAAGTTTACGCTGGTGTTTTTCTCCATCAAATCGATCCCCGTTCTCTTGCTTGCTGGTCTGTCCTTTGACATTCCTCTTTTTTTCCCATGAATCTGCCTGATTCCCTTTTAAAATAATTTATGGACTGCTTCAATCATGTTTTGTGGCAGAAAATTCCACGTAGTGGTATTTCTGATCTTGCACCTGGTTTCAGCCTGTAAGACTGTTGTTTTCAGGTTTGAAGTGGTTCAGAACTGTGGAAAATTCTTATATCCAGTCGCAATTTAGAAGCAGTTTTTTTGTAAAAATTCCAAATAAAGATTTTGAGAAAACTTGAACTGCCAGGTCTTTTAGAATGGAATTACTGTCAGTGATTTTAACTGTATGGGGGACTCCCATTCATTCATAGCCTCAAGAACTGATTTTGTTTAACTTTATGTTTACTTTGAGAATATCCCTATCCAGTATCTGGCAACGAAGCGTAAATCCATGGCCCCATCTCTTGATCCACATACGTGTCACCAGCACCTCTCCAGAAACCAAGGGACCATATGCATGAGGCGGGACATGAGTACGATCAAAGCTTTCTGACTTTGCTGGAGGTGGTGATGGGGGAGGTTATAGAACTACTGCTGCTGATAGACCAGCAAGCCTGGCTCGTCTGCAGGACTTGGAGTGTCAGAATAGTCATCTGGGGCAGGAATTCTTCCTTCTCAGCCCCTATTAACCCTTCAAGCCAAACTCCTTATGAGTACGATGGTCTGGTCAGGAAGCTTACCAGACACTATTCACAATGGCAAGCTACGGAATTTTAGAAAATTAAACTCCAGCAGTAACCTGACACACACTCTGTATTCCCCAGACCTCCTGCCTCAGAACCCATCGTGTGTGCTAGAGTGCATTTACCAATATCATGAGCCAAGAATTTAAATACTATGTATAGATATCGCAAACCATAGTTTACCTATTAAACTACAAGTAAAAGAATATTTGTTAACCAGGAAATTATTAACAATAGTTAGTGTATTCTCATGTGTACATTTCCGATTATTTTCAAAGTATTTTTAGCCAAATTGTTTTACTGCTAATAGACTGTAATATCTCATTTCTTTGTTGATGCCAAAACAATACCCCGTGTATCGTTTTAGAATAGCGTACGACTTTTGCAATGATTTAAATTGTATTTTTTAAGCAATTCATACAAATCTTATAATGCAATCATCCGCTGAATAAAAAATGTATGGGGAAACATTACACTATCTTTGCATCATTTTAGAGCAAGCAGAATTTGGTGCAAAATGAAGCCTTATTTCAAACCTCGTTTTCTGTAAGTTTTTTTTAAGAATTGTAATTCTTTTCTGTTTCTACAAAAGTAACTATCCTTCTGGTTTGCCTGGCAAATGAATAATGGATTCAAGTCAATCCCCTCTAACAACTTCAACCACTAAAGGATTCTCTCTAGTGTAACATTCGTTGCTATTGTCTTATCTGTTCTTGAGCACTGAAGTCCATTCAGAGCTGAAGTTTGGAGACAAACCAAATCCTCCAGTATTTCTCTGTCTCACCACCCTGGAGTTTCATGTAAACAAGAATGTAGTTTAAAATCAAGTCTCCACTGTCGAAGAGTCTGTTTTGAATCAGAGTTAAGAGGTTTTTATTACACTTAGTCTCTATACTGTGCCCTTAAAGTTAAAACAACTATGAGTTGAAATTACTGGAGCAGAGTGAATAAGGATTCTAAGAACACCCTTTCACACTTTAGGTGGACAGAAACTCCTCACTATCTGTCCAAGACGTGCTGTCTGTTGATTTAATGCCAGGCATAGTATAATGATAATGAAAATCATTATGTAATTATATAATTTGTAAAAGAATGTTTCAATACAAAACGTTGCTAATTGTGGGGTTGTGCACTTCGGATGAAATGTAGAAGTTGTGAGTATGTCCCAAATGGTGAAATACAAGGAGGGCAAATCAGCAAAAAGATCTAGGGATTCAAGTTCATAAGACCATTAAAAATCTAATTCACAGGTCCAGAAAACAGTCAGTAAAGCAGATGTGATGCTGGCATTTATTACAACAGGCTTGGAATATAAATGTAAATAAGTGCTTCTCCATTTCTATAAAGTGCTGGTCAGACCTCAGTTGGAATATTCAGTTGGTTGAGGGTACCTAATCTTTGGATGGATAACCAAGTCTTGGAGACTGTCCAACAAATCAACAAATTACATTTGTATAGCGCCTTTCACATTGAGAGGACGTCCCAAGGTGCTGGACAGTCAAGTGTCAGTTCACTACATTAATAACTCTTATGAAAAATCATAGCTATCATGAGAGACCGGGGTTATATTCTTTACTGTAAAGGAGGAAAAGAGGTGATTTGAATGAGGTATTTAAAGTAGTGAAAAGAACTACTGTAATAGGTTTATATAGTGGACAATTCTTCCACATGAGAGAAGGAGCCATTACAGGGAGACTTAGCCTTAAAATTGGAGCTAAGATAGTTAGAACTAAAGTCAGGAATCCTTTCTTCACACAGAGGAATGTAAAGATGTGGAATAGGTTTATAACTAGAGTAAACATGACTAATTCTGAGGAAGCAAACTTGTTATTGCCACATAAGACAGATGCAGTAGTTTTCCTTGTTTCTAAGGTTTAACTGCTATTCTTACTTTAGCATCAGGAGTTATTGAGATTGGTAGAGATTGGTACCCCATGAAAGACATCTAAAGTCAAAATAAAACTGTAGCAACCGGTTGTTCTTAAAGAGAAAATACTACTGATTAAAAGTGACTGACACTTGTTTTTGTACAGGATTGGAGAAAACTATATTAAAATAGCAGCCTATAGCAAAGTATACTTTGTCCTCTGAGTGAAAAGATTCCTTCCACCCTCCCCATTAACTCTTCCAGTGACAACCCTGAGTTTCTGTCCCCTTATTCTATAAAGTGGAAAAAGGGATAAGGCACTAATTGGGCAAAATTCCATCTGGTTTAGACATTTCCTTAGCATTTCAGAGCATCCAGGATTAGGCAAATTCTTGAATTCAGTCTTTAATTTGAAGCTATATTTCCTTAGTTTTTAATACCATTTAATCAAATCTGGACACTGTAAACACTGGTGTGAATTGGTAATTATAATGTAGTAGGGATCACAGAGACATGACTAAATCAGGAGAATGAAATACTGAGAAAATAGTCTTTCCAGACCCAGGTAGAATTTCTACCTTCATATCTTGACATTAGTTCAATATCTGAGCTGTGAGCACCAGAATTGTACTTTGTAGTTGGAAATGTTGAAGTTCAGCTCAGAATTTTAAGGATGGAATAAAATTGCATCGTGATTGTCCTATTGATAGTGGGTTTGTAAATTAAAAAATTTATCGTTTGACAAATGCCAGTCTGACTCTCTATCTGTTTGTCTACAAAATTCACAGCCACTGCAAGATTCATTAAATCCTGTGAAGTGCTTTGAGCCGTATCAATGATTATATCAAATGCAAAGATTATTATTATCAATCTACTCCCTCATAAATTTGCTGTCTGTGAATTATTAATATTTTAGAGATTAATATGTTTTAGATTGTGAAATTATAATGATGGAAAAAAATTGATTTGTTGTAAATCAACTTATAAACACTGAACAAAAAATATTGGTAATAAATTAAAATTGTCATTGGAATTACTGAAATATTGATATACGTGTTTAATTTTCCTACAGAATTTCTACATAGTAGAAATTTACAAAGTAGCAATTCTATGAAGCGCTTCGAGATGTCTCAGTGACACGATAAGGTGATATTTCAAAGCTATAAGGATTATTCTTATGAAATTTCACTCACTTTTAATGAGTTTTTTCTCTGATGTGCTTCTGTGCATGTGTGAAACACTTTGTTTGAAAAAAAGAAAGCTCAGAGGAAAAGAAGCAAATTCGTAGACCCAAAATGTTTGAATACCACAGAGAGACTAGATAAGTGTGGAATCTCCAAACTTACCTACCTTTCACACCTTCTCCACTTTGTCTCCACAAACAGCTTCTCATCCAGCCCCCGCACAGTCTTGTGCACTGTTCCTCAGAGCTCTGTCCTTGGTCCTCTCCAACTTTACATGCTTGGTAACATCATCCACAGACATGGGGTCAACTTCCACATGTAAGCGGATGACATCCAACTTTATCTCCCTGCCTCCACCCTCAACTCCAGGACCACTGATGATCTAACAGAATGTCTGTCAGACATCTAGTCCTGGATGAAAGATAACTTTCTCAAATTGAATGTCAACAAGACCAAGGCCATCCTGATTGGTTCCCCTCAGCGCCTCCACACTTCAGGGGCTGACAGCATCATCACCATCCAAGAATGCACACTCCACCTCACTGAGCCAGTCCTGAACCTTGGCATCTTGTTTGACCCTCAACTATCTTTTCTGCCCCACATCTGTGTCATGACACACTCTGCCTTCCCGCACCTCCGCAACATTGCCCGGCTCCGCCACTGCCTCTCCCATCATGCCACTGAAACCCTCATCCACACATTTATTACATCAGGCTCGACTACACCAACTCCCTTGCTTGTCGGCACTTCCCAACTCTTCCCTCCAGAAGCTGCAGATCATCCAGAACTCTGCAACGTATCCTCTCCCGCACTAGGCTCTGGGACCCTATCACCTTCATCCTCGCCCGGGCTCCACTGGCTTTCCATCACACGCCTTCAAGTCCCTCCGCGGCCTTGCTCCTTCCTACCTTTGTGACCTGGGTAACGCCTTATAAACCTGTCCGCTCCCTCCACTCAGTGGGTCCAGCCTGCTCCATGTCCCCAGTCTGGCCTGCCCCACCATTGGCAGTCGGGCCTTCAGCCTCTTTGCCCCCACCCTTTGGAACTCCATCCCACATTCCCTTTGCCTTGAACCCTCCTTTGCCTCCTTCAATGCACGTCTCTGGACCTTTCTCTTCGACTGCGTCTTTGCCCACCTTCCTACCCCTACCCAAACCCCAGCTCGGGTCCAAATCCCTGACTGTCCAGCGCCTTGGGACATTCTCTCAACATGAAAGGTGCATTGAAAATATAATTCGTTGTTGATTTTTCCATTGCCTTCCTCATTCAATCTTCTCTAGTTCCTGATTATCCACAGCCCATATACTTTCTAGCAGAAGCTCTATGAGCCCATCACTCCCATCAGACTCCACTTGCTTCTTATTCCCCTGCTGGTTAACTTCAGGATCCTCATTTCAATTTTCTAAAGCCTCCATGCTATTGACTTCCACTCATTGCTTCTATGATCAGGTGCAGGCCTACTCTCCTGCTCGCTCCCTCTGCTCTGCTAACTCGGGCTTGTTTTGCATCCATAGATCATTTTAGCTCACCACCGAGCTTTCAGCCACTTTGCCCCCTCTACTTAAATTGGTCGTTCACTTTATGGCTGTTCAAGGGATCTGTTATGTGAAAATTGTCACAGTCACTATGGGTTAAAGCAATTCTACAGAAGAGCAAGTATTTGTGAACGTTTCAATGTTACAGGCAATATATTAACTGCAAGGCCTATTTATAAACTATTTCTTTTCTCACCCTTCACTCTAATTCTCTGAATTCCTACTTTAAAAATGTTGACGCCTGCTATTGTACAGTTTTACTAAACAAATTGAAAATTGGGTTGGCATTTTTGCATTCCATTCCAGACAGCAACAACAACACAATTACATTTGTAATGCGATTTTCATGTTGGGAGGATGTTCCGAGGCACGGAACAGTCGGGGATCAGGACCCGAGGGTGGCAGTGTTGGGGTGAGGGAGGGCAGAGTGGTAGGAGGGGGGCTGAAGGCACAGTCAAAAAGGAGGCTCCTGAGTCGTACCTTGAAGGAGGCAAAGGAGGGAGCAAAGCAAAGGGACTGTGGAATGGAGGTCCAAAGATTGGGGGCAGAGAGGCTGAAAGCCTGGCCGCCGATGGTGGGACGAGTCAGGCAGGAGACATGGAGTAGGCCAGAGCCTGCTTAACGGAGGGAGCGAACAGGTTGATAGGGCGTCCCTCCAAAACCAAAAACAATAATAAATTGGTCATTTTCAATCTACGATTGTTTGTGCGACATTGCTGTGCGGAATTGGCTGCCGCGTTCGCCCACAAACAAGTGTGTTCTGTGAAGCGCTTTGGGACGTCCTCCTGACGTGAAAAGCGCTATATCAAATGCAAGGATTATTATTATTATTAAAGTGATTTGACTGTATATTTTGTGGACATAGCAGCCAATGCGCACAGCAGTGTCCCACAAACAGTCATGGAGTGAGTGACCAGTTTTATTTGGGTGATTTCAATGTCCAGGACACCAGGAGAAACTCCATTCTCTTTTTGAATAGTGCCATTAGATCTTTAACGTCCACCTGAACAGGCAGACGGGATCTTGGTTTAATGCCTCATTCGAATGACGACGGCATCACCAGCAATGCAGCACTTCCGAGTCCTGCACTGGTGTGTCAGTTTATACTGTGAGTTCAATCTCTCGACATGGAGCTTGAATCCACAACTTTCTATAATAATAATCCTTACATTTGATGCAGCACCTTATCACATTGTTGAGATGTCTCAAAGCACTTCACAGAATATATTGTAAAGTGAATCAAACCCGGGTCAGTACATTACATGACTCCACAAACTGTCTCTGCTACTCCTCAGCATTAGTATAATTGCAAACACTTCTGTAGAAAGATTTGCGTAAAAGCTTGTCATCATTTTAATTGTCTGGGAATTTCTTTACAGAACATTGTTTCTCTTCTGCTTTCAAACATGAATCAACAGCACCAGAATTAGAGTACATTAGGCTCCACCTATGACTCAATGCATCTGTAGAACCTGTGTGACGTTGTTTGTACGTCTATCCTTTGTGGGTTCAATCACTGTGCCCTGATCATGTGATCTCCGATATTCTGAATATGACTGTGGGGATAGCATCGGATTATTACTATAGGGTGTACCCTTTGTAGAAAACAAACACTACACCTTTTAAGGCTGCACTCTCCACCTCTCAAAGTCAGTCAGGAACCTCGGTG